AGCAGACCATTCTGAAGCCTATCTGAGGTATCTTGTGAGTAGCATCTTGATGTTGTTTCATGGTTGAAAGTCTCCTCAGACTGTTCCAGCTGAGAAGAAAGATATGAGATGTAGCTAATAGTGAGGCGAAGGGTCTCAATCTTGGTCAAGGTTTGTCCAGCAGGAGCCACTGAAGGAGGTAAGTAGGTTCGGAGATGATGGAGAGCCTTGGTCAGATCCCTCATCCTGAGCTTCTCTCTTTCACTGGCCGTCTGACGCTTCACTCCAGGGTTTTTAGACCTGGAACGTCTCTTTCCATCAGCCGGTAGAGTTAATCTGAGTTTTGTAGCTGGTACGCAGTCGATCCCAGTGGCTGCTGGCTGTCTTCCAGCTCCCCAACAGCTCGCAGGAGGCGAAAAACATCCAGAATCAATGGAGGAACTTGGAGAAAGGCTGCCACAGGCACTGAAGTACCCAGCATCAATGGTGGTAGATGATCGCTCATATTCAAACTGGCATTTGGCTCCCTGGAGCATATAAGGAGAAAAGTTCAACTCCATGGTTGTGATCTTTTCAAAGCAGAGGAGATGTTTCCTTCTCGTTCTCTGGTACCTGAGTGAATGCTAAAGAGCTGGAGGCTCAGCCCAGTATATCCTGGATGTAGAGGTGTGATGTTGCACCTCAAGAAGGTGCTTAAGAATTTCAAAGCGGCAGAGAGACATCACACCAGGGGCAGGGGGTCTCTGGGAAAACTCACATCACTTCCAGCACAGGTGGGAGGTGGCGACTGCAGCAGTAAAATAACATTCACTGCCACAGGACAAGTTCAAGATAGATTTAGATTTAAAGTCTGGAGATTTTATTTATGGAAATAATTTTGATGTGAATTTTTGGGAGCTGTGTACTTCTGTATTGAGTTCAGTACTACATACCACATAATTAAAAAAAAATCAGTCAAATTCCATTCCAGTCAAACCAGTCAAAAGTGGCATTTTAGTTATTGTTTAGTTTTAATCAACAATGCAAAGCCAGTCAATCAAAACTGTGCCATGCAATTTTATTTCTCACCTTCAAGTCAGGTCTTGATGCATTTTATTGCTTTTTTGCATTTTCAGAAATATATATAAATTGGTTAGAAATGTATTTATTTATTGATTTTCTTATTTAGAAATGTATTTATTTAGATTTTTTATCCATTTATTATGGACCCTTTTCACAAGACTGTGATGACGCATTTAACGGTAAAAGTTTTATTTAATTTTTCTTTTAAATGTATGTGTATTTATAACACTATACTTTGTATTATATCACCTTTGCATCAAATTACGAAAAGACTAGTAAACGCTAATGCGAGGGTGTTTCTAATGCAGCGTCTATTGGAGGGACAGTAAATTTGACATGGTTCTCCCTTCTGACTGCCGTTATCAGTCTCTCTCAATTTTTTCCATTTTTGAAAGTCATGAAAACACTATCGTGGAGTTTTTCTTTTGCTATTAGAGTAAATGGGAATGCAAAAAAAATAAAAATAAATAAATAAATATATATATATATATATATATATATATATATATATATATATATATATTTGTGGTACTCTCCCATTCACTGCTCTTGAAGTTAACCCATGATGACTTCCGCTGCTGAGAAACCCGGAAATGTGAAAAAGGTCCATTGTATTAGACATGCGTTTATTTATGCATTCATTCTTCATGACATTATATTTATATATTACATTTATCTATATTTATTACAATTATTACTACAATTATTCATTCATTTATTAGAAATGATTTCAATTATACATTCATACTTTTTATATGTATAGGATTACCATGGGATTGTGTTTCTGAAGTCTGAGGTAGAAGGAAAGTGGTTTTGAATCAACGAAGGCCGTGAATGTTGGACGGTATATATTTTTTTATTTATTTATTAAAAGTGCATTTATTTATGCATTCATGTTTTTATTTAGGCGAAATGTTATGAAATGTAAATGTCTTATTTTCTGCTTTTTATAAAATGCTTGCTCTCTCAGAGTAACACCTCTTTTTGTGAAGTGTGTAGCCTGTAATGTGTCAGTTGTTCACAGGTTTTTGTTTAGACAACTGACTTTTACAGTTTATGGCCTCATGGGAACTCAGGAAGGACAGCTTTTTTTTTAATTTGAAGTAGAAGTTTTTATTTTTAAGAGAGCAGATTTTAAACGTTTGGATTTGAAATCACAGTTTTGCTCAGTTTTACTTTAACAATTTTAAAATGTAAAATATATTACATAAAATTATATATACGCTGTGTATGTGTGTGTGTGTGTATACACACACACACACACACACACACACACACATTGTGGAACCAAAAATGGTTCTTCTATGGCATCGCTTGAAGAACCTTTTGAAGATTTTATATGAAGTTTTTCAATGTTCAAAATCAGGGCAAATATATTAATGCTGTTTACATGTAATGATGTACATGAGACATCAAACATGCTGAAATTGAACAGATATTTATTTAGCATTTTTTTTAAGTAAATTTGTTAAAATGATCAAAATAAATGAAAACAAGGTGAAACAACCACTTTGGTTGATCAGAATATTCAAGTATTTTAAAATATTGGCCAATTATTTGGCCTGGCCAGATATAAAGGTCTATAGCTATTTTAGTATGACTGGAGAGAAAGATGTTTTAATTATGTAATTCATTATTACTTCGATGTCTCATTTAGTCAGTTTGACCATCAGAGGGCCTCAAAGGGGAAAATGTGAAAGATTAAAAAAAATATATATATATAATTATATATGTAATAATGTTTTTTTTTCCTTAAGTAAAATAACAATAATGTAAAATGTTAAAAAAATTAAATGCATGAAATTAATTTTGTGAATGTAAATGTTAAATATCATTCTTTGCTATGTTCATACAATACATTTAAGAATACTTGTATCTGTTTTTCTAGCCCTTGTCACCTTTAGCTTCACCTTTATATTCTAATATTAGTAAATATATATATATATATATTTGACAATAAAAAACAATTTTCCAAATAATGATAATAATGTGTTTTTGCTTTAGTATAATGACAAATAAAATTCAATAATATAATTTTTTGATGAACATGTCATTATAATAACAAACTTAATATGTCAGAACTACACTCTAAAAAATGCTGGGTTAAATACAACCTAGTGCTGGGTAAAATAGGGACAGACCCAGCAATTGGGCTGTTTTGACCCAGCGGTTGGGTTAAATGTTTAACCCAACCTTCTGGGTAGTAACCCAACCGCTGGGTCAAAACAACCCAATTGCTGGGTTTGTCCATATTTCACCCAGCACTGGGTTGTATTTAACCCAGCATTTTTTAGAGTGTAATATTAGGCTATATGTTTTTGTCACAGTGTAAAAAATTGTTTTACATGAAAATATATAGCTGCCTTTATATCTTAGGAAGTGCAACCCTCAAAAAAGGCGTCATAATATTTTAACCCCATTTTATATTCTTCTAAACAATTGTTAATGCTGGTTAATTGTTTTGCTCCATATTAAATTGTCTTTATCTGCTGGGATCTTTGAATACTGGCTGCAAAAGCCCATTAGCAGGATTCTGAGTGTAATCTACATGTAAATGACCGAGAAGAGACTCAAAGCCTCCACTAACGCTGTAACTGCCTGTCTTTGCAATTTCTGCACATTCCAGCTGATTTTTGCATTCCTTTTTTTTCTGTCAGGTGTAATGAAATCGGTCAACAGGATAGGAAGAATTGCATTATATTATCAAAAAACAAAACAAAAAAAACATCTGAATCTAGAAGAAATGCTATGAAAGCAACCGTCTTTTGATTAGGTGTAACTTACATTGCTGTAACATCAAGTATAAAGCATGCAACAGAAGCTAAATGGAGAACTATAAGAGAATATTTGCTTAGGTTTGGGACAAAAGTGACAGTGTGTGTCAAGAGTGACATGAAGAGGAGTCGTCATGGGGTCAAATCACTGCGGCGCAGCTGCATGTGGCTGTAAAATTGCATCCTCTTATGGAGACAGTAGACATTGCCTTACAGTAAAGCAAACAGAATTCATATTGCCTCCGTCACTCATACTTGAGATAGTGTTATTTTAGCATAACTGAGAAGCTATTACAGTCTTTATTATTATTTTTAATTAATTTTTATTTTTATATGTTCTCATTTTAATGTTAGCCAGTGTTTTTGTTGTGTATTTCCATTTAAATATGTCTGTAATGTAAGGTTTTTATTGATTTTCAATTTAGTTTAGTTGAATTTAATACATTAAGTTAGACTAAATAAAAACGAGAAAATGTATAAATATATGAAGAGTTCAGATGCAAAAGCCTCTAAGTGCCATCTAAAATTTTCTTCTAAAATTAGCATTTTTATCAGGCTCCTAGGTTTAGGTTCAGTAATTTTACTTTAATGGCAACGTATAGGTCCTTTTCTATGCCATTAAAGTGAAATAAGTGAACATAAATATAAGAGTCTGATAAAAATGCTAATTTTAGATGAAAATTTCAGATGGCACTTAGAGGCTTTTGCATCTGAACTCTTCATATTTATTTTATTTTAGTAAATATTTATTATTGTTGTTGTTATTTTCTTTTCTTTCTTTTTTGAATGGTTTTAGTTTTAATTTCAGTTTCGTTTAACTATAGTAACCCTGGTTTGTGACTATATTGATAATGAATAATTGTTGATTTGTTGATTGACAAAAGTTGATTTTCAATAGTGAAGACCTTTTTATTGTTATTTAATGATAAATAAACAAAATCGTGACGTTCAAAGTTAATACACAAAATCAAAACTTTGACATTTAGATGTTTTTAATATAAATATCAATAAATTAGTATCATTTTTGTACAAAAAAGAGAACATACAAAATATATAATATTAAAATAGAAATCTTAAAATAAGATAAAACAATATATTTTTTAAAATACATTAAATACTGTACAGTAGAGACCACAAAAAAAAAAGAAGAAAATGTTTAAATATATGAAAAGTTCGATGAGTGTTTCATCCCCAGAATTCCGGTGCAATCGGACAGTGGACAGCTATGTTGTAGCCCTAAAAAGAGAGGTGGAAAAAAATTAAGTTTATTTTATTCAGCATTTATTCAGTCTTTGAAAATTAAATGAATAATAAAAAGCGAACACAATATGCATTATTTATACATATTCAGAATTTTTCATTTCAAATATATAAGTGTCAAACAAAGTACACACCTGGTATGTTGTGGCTGTATCTGCATACAGAGGGCCTTCCAGAAGAGATTCGGAGCTGGAGTTGAAGGAATCATCATAAGCAGGTGTTTCCATGCTCATGCAGACCTGATCAGACCTCAACACATGCTCTGAAGGCCTGAAGGTGCTTTGAGACAGTTCTTGATGTGATGTGCTGAGTCCCCAGTACTCTGGTGTCGAATAGCCCTGATTTTGAGACGATTCTTGGTATCTAGAAGCTCTCAGGTCCCTCATCTGGCAGAGAGACTCCTCGCTGAGGCCTAGTTGAGCAGACAGATAGGAGATGTAGCGGATGGTGTGGCGAAGAGTCTCGATCTTCGTCAAGGTTTGGCCGACAGGAGCCACGGAAGGAGGTAAGTAAGTCCTGAGGTGGTGGAGAGCTTTGGTCAAGTCCCTCATTCTGAGCTTCTCCTTCTCGCTGGCGCTCTGTCTTTGCTTGCTTGGGTTCTTGCAGCGTGTTCTTCTAGTTCCAACGCGGGAACGTGAGCCGTCCTGATGTAATGAACCCGACGTGGGTGCCTTTTCACCTCCGTGAGGAGGAGAAGAGCTGTTTTGAAGCTGGGCTGAAGGAGAGAAGTCCATGTAGGAAGTAGGAGAAACGGCTTCAGGAGATGAGGTGTTGTAGAATTCAGAGTCTGAGCTCGGGCAGCTCCAGGAGTTTTGTGTGAAGTAGCTGAAGAAAGGAGAAGACACGTCCATTCTGTGTGGTTTGAGAGAGTCAGTGATGCCGGAGGGTGTGCTGGAGGGAGGCTTTATAGCAGCCTCAGGCCTCAGAGGTGTGAAGTGACACCTCTGCAGGCCTCTGTCCCAGACCAGACTACAGGGAGAGAGGGAGAAGTCCGGTCCCGATGTGGGAACCTACAGATATGAGTCATCAGGTAATGTGTGATTTTTCACTCCTACTCAGCATGAACCCCCCCCCCCCTTCGCTACTGTTTTTAACATCAAGCTCTCCAGTGCTATTTGGATTATTTTCAGCCCAGAAATAGAAACACAATAAACTGATTCATTAAATATTCAAATGCTAAAATTGTCATAAAAAAGATCAGATTTATTGCATAATAATCAACATTTCTTATAATGCTGTATACATAATTAATAATAATATAATATATCAATTCACAGATTTACTGCATAATAATTACAATTTCTCATGAAGTAAAAAAATTAAAATAATAATAAATAAAGAAAAAGAAAAAATATAGTCAACAAACATGATGGCATATAATACTAAAAATATATGTAATACATAATAATATAAATTATTAATGTTATATAAAATTAGAATAACAGAAATAATATATAATTAATACATTATTAATAGTTAATAATATATCAAACAAATATATTATCAACACAAATGTCCCCAAAATTATAAAAATGATTTAAATGATATATTATTTTATGAAATTGTATTATAGTATATATATATATATATATATATATATATATATATATATATATATATATATATATATATATA